CGCTCGGGCGGGGGGGGGCGGGCTCCGGTGGCGTGGCGCTCGGCGGGGGGGGGCAGCGGCGCAGCGGCACTTTTTTTTGCTGCTTGGAGCAGCAAAAAAGTTAGAGCCGGCCCTGGTGTATTATCATTTATTTACTTAGTTCAGATGCTAACCACATGTTCACAATGCACCTAACAAAAAGTTGCCACCACCAATGCAGCCCCAACAAAAGCATCCGATCACGTCTTTCTTTCTCTCCAAACAGAGTTTGCATGGTTTGCTCTGTGAAGAATGACTTTTGACCTTTTTATTTCTTATTACCCTTTGTTCTGGTTGCATTTTTATTCATCTGAGTGATGAACACGAAGTTTTTGTTCAAAGCAAAAGCACTGCTTTTATACCAGTGACAGCTTTACATTTATTTTACTGCATATGAACAGGAGTTTTCTAGTGAGTACACCTCCTCTTTATTAGTTTCAAGTGCTACATTTTAATAATAAAGAACTATTAAAAACTGCTTTTCACATATAATGACCAAGAAAAACTACATGCTAAATTTTTTAATAATTCTAGGGCGTCTGTTCTCAGATTGCTGAGTGCTAAGGTGCTGCACAAAGTGAGTTTCTTTGTATTTGCTTTTCCATTTTTAAAGAATATCTTCATTTTTTTTTGAATTGTTGATTCAAAACATGCTGACATCCTCTTGCCCAACTCTTTGGTCTTGGCTGTGGCACTGACCCTTACACAGAGGTAGATCAGATTGCAGAATCAAAACCTTACTTTTCACTATGCATTCATTTTTATATTTTAGTGGCTACATTTTTCATCCAATGCAACCTCAGTTATATTAGGTTTCAGAGTAGCAGCCGTGTTAGTCTGTATCCGCAAAAAGAAGAACAGGAGGACTTGTGGCACCTTAGAGACTAACAAATTTGTCAGTTATATTAGAAACTAGTGAACTATAAAATTTCGAACAAACATTCCATTGTATACTGAAATGAGCATCCTTTAAACTTGCAGTATGTCTACACTGATCTGCAATTTGACTACAGAGGTGTTAATAGAAGCATGCACCAAGTGTTATAACTCCCTAACTTGGAGGCTGTGAGCACAAACTAAAAAGTTCCTACTTCTCATTAACATACTCCTCTTCAAACAGGACTATGTTAATACAAACTAGGAACCTTGTCGTACATGCCTGCAGGGTCCACATGGGGGAGCTACAGAACAGCACTTCAGTGCACGCTGCTTATTAACACCCTGTAGTCCAAACTGCAGGGAAATGTAGACATTCCCTAAGCAGTGCCTTGGATTGACATTCTAATTGTTCTCCTGCCTAATCCTGCTCAGACTGTCTAACTCAAAATACTCTGTCAAGCAAGATTTGGACACTGTAATCTGGAATTTCCTTCTTCCCCAAAAACGTATATATAAAGTATATACCTACCTGCGTGGGGGGCATGAGTACAAAAGACAGAAGAGGGTGGAGTTTTTTGTTTTTACTTTCAAAAGAGTTAAGGCATAACAAGAGAGGGAT